AATTTGCAATTTACATGGATGATGGGGCCCTATTCAAAGCCCTGCTCCTGCCGCCTTTGTGCGTCCAGCTCTCTTCACGCAGCCATTAGGCTGAACACCATATAATTAGGTAACCCATGGAAAGCTTCGGTTTCTGAAAGGTTGCGGTTCTTTTCAAAAAGTAAGGGTTTCCATTTTTACCCTCATTCTTTTCTAAACAAAAAGACATTTCCCCCCTGTGGTTTTCATATGAATGTAGTAACTTAGAAACAGTTAGTCTTGTAGGCGGGTAATAATTTCGGTTTGTTTTCACCTGAGAGCCGGTTTTTGTTTACACAGCTTGGGCTTAACTCAGCGTAGGCTGGGATTGAGTTGCCATCATTTGCGGCTGAGTGTGTTGCTTTTTGAAGCCAATGAAATTGGCCGATTTTAAAATCCCCAATGATTGAAAATTCGTGCCGCAAAACAACTCAGCTCCCAGCTTATTTCTTATGTTTCTCTTACTACCTGTATGCACAAAACCTATCTGAAGTCACTTGGTTAAGGTAGAGCCCATGGAAATAGAAATACTGAAGAAAACAGATGTTCTGCTCTCAGTAGATTCATTGTGTTTAAACTGCATTCACTTGTCACACACATTCGTGAGTATAAAGAGAGTTTGGTGGTGAGGTGAATGCAAGCTTAGAAAAGAGTAAACAAAAGTGTGTGTGTGTGTGTGTGTCTGTGTATATATGCCTTATTGAAATAATATAATGCAAAGATTGCCTATTAAGGTATTAATGCATTATCATATCTTAGACCTGATAATTTTGAAACGAGTAAGCAAATGGAATTTCTTTTTACTTTGCAAGGTTGAAGGGCAAGTAACAGGATGTATTCTAATACCTAGAATATTAATTCATAGCAATCAACTGGGGAATTCATTAACATCAGATTCTTGGATCACATTTACCAAAATTCTGTGGTTAGATGAGTGTGGAAGGGCCTTAGGAATCTAAATTTTTAGTAAGTACTTCTCAGTGCCATAGCAGAAAGTTTGTAGATGATGTTAGAAATAGTTGTTTTGTACAAAATATAATTAATACCAGCATGCTTCAGTCCAAGTACCTGTGCTACTTCCAAGTCCAGCGATCTGCTACTGCACACCCTGGGAAGCAGCAGATGACAGCTCAAGTTCATAGGTCCTTGCCTCCTGGTTGAGGGACTCTGAGTTCTGGGCTCCTGGTTCCAGCCGGACCTAGCCCAGGCTATTGTGGGTATTTGGGGAGTGAACCAGCAGTTAGAAGATTTCTATGCCTTTCTCTTTATGTCTTTCAAATAAAATGGAAATAAATTGATTAATTAAAAATAAGAAATTGAGAAGTGAGCAGATTGGCGAGATGGTGACTTTTGGACATTGTAAAATTCAGTGCTGGTCTGTCCTCCCATTTGTCAGTTGAGTGTCTAAATGACCAATGTAATGTGTAGTGTACATTTAGCAGAATTTATAGTTTGTTATTTGAATCTCTACATTTTTGTCCTTTGGCTTGATTGTGTCTCATATGCATCAGAGGGAGAGTATTCTCAATGTGCTTGTTATCGTTTGGGAAGCTCGTGTCATCACAGTGACATTAGATGATGAAGCCATCAGTAGCTGCACATGAGCATTTGAAGAGTTCTGCTGGGAAGGAGAGAGTGAAAACAGGAGGGTCACAGAGCTGCACCCCCACCCTTCCCCGGAGAAGTGATCCTCAGTACTTGTGTGCTGGGGCTCGTCCTACGTCAGCTGAGGATTGACACTGAACGTTTTGATGAGGATATTCTGTGTGAAAATAAACACATGCAGTTAGATGCCAAGTCATACTAATAGAGTGATAAGCAAAAGCCATGAAGATTGGTTCTGCCCTGTTCTTGGTCTTTTACTTCTTAGATAGTATTTATCCAGTTCAAACACGTAATAATAATGAAATGCATGTGTAGTATAAGGAATTAATATATCCATACAGGTAATCGTTGTGCATGGAGTGGGTATTTGGCCTAGTGGTTAAGGTGTCAGTTAATATGCCTGCATCACATATCAGAGTACCCAGGTTTGAGTTCCAACTCTGAGTCCTGATTCTAGCTTCCTGCTAATACAGACCCTGGGAGACAGTGGAGATAGTTCAAGTACCTGCCACCCCGTGGGAGACCTCAGTTGAGTTCCTAGTTCCCGGCATCAGGCCATTTTTAGGCATTTGAGGAGGGGAGGGATGAACCAGCAGGTGTAAGTTCTGTCTGTCTCTGTCTCTCTGCCTCCCAAATAAACAAATAAATGTTGTGTATAAAAAGCATAGACAACTTAAGGCGAGTAGGCTCTTGTCGCTCCCCCTCTTCGTGGAGGAGCAACACAGGACCCTGCGCTGTTCTTTCGTCTGCTCGGCCCTCCCCGGGTTTGCTGCTGGTTCTTCCCGGGTTGGCTACTATCCCTTCCACCTCCGTGGAAGGGCAGTTCCCCCTGGCCACATTCCCCACTTCCGCAGGGGAGTGGCACACTGCCGGCCGGCTCTCTCGGGGGCTGCACAGGTGTTCCCCTTAGATGTTCCCCTTAGATGTTCCTGGTGCATGCCGTCTCTCTCCTCCTTTATAGTCCTCCTCCGCCAATCCTAACTCGGCTGCCCACACGCCGAGTACGCTGCTCTCCTCCAATCAGGAGTAGGTCCTACAGTTTATTGGTTGAACTGGAGGCAGCTGCGTAGAAGCTGTTTTCTCCTCTCCCAGCGCCATATTGTGGGAGAGCAGATGCATAGAATAAGTCTTAATTCCAGTAACAATATAGTCCGAGTTGCTCCCCACAGTGGGAGAGCAGATGCATAGAATAAGTCTTAATTCCAGTAACAGTATAGTCCGAGTTGCTCCCCACAGATCCCCCTTTCTTTTTATTTTTTGGCGTTGATACGCGCCTGTCTTCGGTGTCCCGCGGCACACACTCTGCTCTGCTTGCTAGAGTTGCCACAGGTTCTTACAAGTCCTATCAATCAGGCAAACCGAATCCAGGTCCTCTCTTCGCCATGTTGTGAGGAGGTTTTTAGGCGCTGATGCGTGCCTGTGTTCGGTGCCCCGCAGCGCATGCTCTGCTCTGCCTGCAGGGGCTTACAAGCCCTAACAATCAGGCAAACCGAATCCAAGCCTTCTCATTGCCATATTGTGGGGAGGCTTATTGGTGTTGATTCGTGCCTATCTTCGGTGACCTGCAGCTCATACTCTGGTCGAGCTGCTTGCTGGTGCTTACCGCCTTAATCAGGCAGACCGAATCCAAGCTCTCTCATTGCCATGTTGTGGGGTGACTTATTGGTGTTGATAATGTGCCTGTCTTCGGTGACCTGCGGCGCATAAGCTGCTAGCCGCCCGCAGGTGCTCACCACTTCCCTAATCAGGCAGACCGAATCCAAGCTCTCACATTGCAGTGTTGTAGGGAGGCCTCTCTATTTCTCTATTTCTCTATCTCCGGGCATTCCTATTTCTCCCATTTTACTTCTATCTTCCAGCATTCCTATTTCTCTCCTTTTACTTCTAAACTTCTGTTTCTCTTATCCCTGCGGCTTCCCGGCGGCGCTCGCCCCGAGGCTGCTTCTCGGCACCACGCCCCGCAGCAGCTTCTCGGCACCTCGCCCCGCGGCAGCTTCACGGCTCTGCGCGGCTTCCCGGCGCCTCGCCCCGCCGGCGGGTTCCCGGCTCTGCGCGCACGCTCCGCGGTCTCCATGCACTTCGCGCCCGCACCACGGCCTCGCGCCAGCCCCGCGTTCCCCATCTATTCACGCCCCGTGCTCTCTCTGCACGCAGCGGCTTCCGCGAATGTTTCCGCCACCACCGGCATTCAGTCCAAGTTCCCCGGACTAACCTGGCGAATTTCAACCTGGCGGCCCACGTCTCTGCCTCTGGTTCCAGATCTTCGCCTCTTGCTCCCCGGGGTGACCTGAAGAATTCCAAGGTGGCTTATATCTCCGCCTCGGCCTGCACTCGCGGCCTCATCCCCCCTAACATTCCTCTCTACCCAGTATGTTTCCTTAAGTTTTCTTCCAACAATATTTCCTCTCAATTTTCTTCCTGGCTTTCTCCCCCACAGTCCGGATCTGAGTCTAAGTTTCTTCTTGCTTTCACTTTAAATCCTAACTTCTTTCCCACAGTCCATATCCGAGTCTCTGCCTAGGCTTTCAATAGCTTCTTCCGGCACCTAGGCTCTTTGATAGTCTCTCTCTCCGGTATTTTCCACTTCTTCCCGTTTCTTCCCTCTTCTTCCCTCCTAGGTTTCCTATCCGTCCTAGGTTTCCTATCCGAGTCACGGCACCATTATGTCGCTCCCCCTCTTCGTGGAGGAATGACACTGAACCCTGCCTAGGCTTCATATCCGAGTCACGGCACCATTATGTCGCTCCCCCTCTTCGTGGAGGAGCAACACAGGACCCTGCACTGTTCTTTCGTCTGCTCGGCCCTCCCCGGGTTTGCTGCTGGTTCTTCCCGGGTTGGCTACTATCCCTTCCACCTCCGTGGAAGGGCAGTTCCCCCTGGCCACATTCCCCACTTCCGCAGGGGAGTGGCACACCGCCGGCCGGCTCTCTCGGGGGCTGCACAGGTGTTCCCCTTAGATGTTCCCCTTAGATGTTCCTGGTGCATGCCGTCTCTCTCCTCCTTTATAGTCCTCCTCCGCCAATCCTAACTCGGCTGCCCACACGCCGAGTACGCTGCTCTCCTCCAATCAGGAGTAGGTCCTACAGTTTATTGGTTGAACTGGAGGCAGCTGCGTAGAAGCTGTTTTCTCCTCTCCCAGCGCCATATTGTGGGAGAGCAGATGCATAGAATAAGTCTTAATTCCAGTAACAATATAGTCCGAGTTGCTCCCCACAGTGGGAGAGCAGATGCATAGAATAAGTCTTAATTCCAGTAACAGTATAGTCCGAGTTGCTCCCCACAGGCTCTCTATTGTGGTGAGGATAAATAATACTATGGACATTGGCTAATAGTTATGTGAAATTACTAATATCTTTTTTTTCCTTCCATTTGATCAGATTTCCTATAGGAAAGATATTCAGGATACCCACACATACAGTGCAGAACTTGACAGACCGGATATCAAGATGGCAACTCAGATCTCCAGGATCGTAAGCAATGTAATTTGTCTTTCTTCATCTCCAGCAGAAATGATTTCTTCTTTTTGCAGGAGACAAAGTACAGCTTTGGTAGCTGTGCAGTTAATTTAATTAGTATATTTTATCTGCATTAATGACATCTCTGTTTTTTCCCCTGAACTTCCCATTTGACTAAATTATTCAGTGTTGTACAGAAGCCGCCCAAACGTGGACTTGACTGTGGCTAGCGTTAACATAATTTTAAGGAAATATGTACTATTTGGGTGTGAGATCACATTCGCACATCTCAGCCTGAGAGTCATGATGGTTAGTCATCTGGTTCCCTTTGATCACTCATCCTATCCTGTTCCCAAGAATTTTGCTTAGCTGTTCTCACCGTGTGTTGTGTAGATTTTCCTCTGTCAACCACTACTTCTGTACATTTGCAGCATAGTATGACTGTTTTGAAATCTTCCCTAAGATACTTTCTTAGTTAATTCTATTTAACTTAAATATACTCAAAACCCTGGCTAAAAATCATGTTTTAGCTTGAACCAAATATTTGAATAACAGGATAACTATACCTTAGAAATCAAATCAGTAATTAATAAATTCAACTACATGTTAATCAAAGATAGACCAGTTCCTGAAAATAAATAAAACCATAAAGCTATCTATTTGAAGGAGGTGGAATTTCAGTTATCTATAAATTTCCCCTATTTTTTTCAGTACTTATGCATAAATACAAGGGTAATTATGACTGGATACTTTGACTTAGTCATTATTTTATTACAAAAAGTTGTTGAATTCATTTAGATAACAGTATAACAGAAGTCAATCCCTGCTTTAGTCATCGACGTTTTAGTATTTGATATATTGTAAAGATAGATTTTAGTGAGATGATGATCTCTTATATTTTATTTTGAGCTGATGTCAATGTAATCCTCCATTGTTAAGTGAAAATATTTAACCTTCCTCTTGTTTATTCGTTTTAGGCAGAATATAAGAAAGGGCAAGGTGTAATGCATAAAGAGCCTATGGTGATGGGAAGAGCAGACTTCCGGCACGCTGTGGAAGCCTCCAAACTTTCTAGTCAAGTAAGACTGTGCAGATGGCTCTGCAATGACTGTGTTCATAGATTTTGTTCCTAGTGACACAGGAAAATATTTCATGTTAGATAATGTCTTTAATGGCAAGAATAAACAGAGATAATGTTTCTGAAATGATTTCAGAGAAGATTGTCATAATAACAAATTTCAATGAGAGGAAAAATTTAATCTAATTTATTAGATTTATTTTCTCCAGTCTCAAATCTGAACCTTTTTTAGTGAGTGAATTTGGCCATGTTGTCACATTTCCCAGAATTTCAAAAATCAGCAATAATCACACTAAATGATTATATTTCTAGGTACCATACATACACATGCACACAGTTTTTAACTTGGTAATTATTTTTCCAATTTTCAAATGCTTTAATTTAATACAAAATTAAAAAGAGGTGATAAAAACAAAGAGAACTTTAAATTTTTACTGAAGAGTATAAAATACAGTTCAAATAAGTTTGAAGACCTGCCGTGTTCTTGGCTGAAGCTCTCAATAGATAAAAATTTCAATTCTCAGAATTGTTGTGTAAATATCAAGCAATTTCAGTTAGAATCCAGCAGATTTTTTAAAAATATGGATAAAATGATTTTTTGGTTTGTGTGGAGAGGAATTGCCTTGAAAGGTATGGAAATGAAAATCAGTTAAGTGAAGAGTTACCAGTAAGTAACAGAAAACAAATGAAATTAAATCAATACAGGATTGGTATCAAGAGAGATAAAATAATCAGTAGGATAGACTAGGGAGTTCTGAAATGCGTTCAAATATGTATAAGCATTTAGTATATGATAAGTGTTGACTCAGCTGAGTGAGAAAAGGTTGGATTAGTTAGTGAATGGTACCAACATAACTGGCAATCCATCATAATAAAATTGGGCCTGAATATTGAACCATATTAGAAAAATAAATTCCATGTGAGTTAGAGATGAGACTATAAACAATAAAATCACCTTAAAATCTTAAAAAGGACATTCAGAAGACTTTATGTATCACATAGGAATAACAGAATTGTTCTTAAATGAGACCAGAGATCCAGAGATGTGGAAGAAGAGTTAGGCGTGCTGACTATATAAAAATTAAAAACTCTTTCAATGGAGAAGCTAGCACCTGCAGAATCACCAGCAATGCTATCCAACAGTAATTGTACATCTCTAGTGTTTTCAGCTTTGAAAATATCCATTCCTCAAGTTACAAAAGTCTTAATTGCTTTACATTTTAAAGTAGAGAGATGGAAATGATGAAAGGTGTAAAATCTGCCTGAGGAACATAAAGTAAGACCTGAGCATGTGAAAGAGTGTACTATGCTTTTGTCTTAGTACTCAATATCATAAAAATGTTAATTCTTCAAAAGTTGATTTTTAAGCTCCTTTTCAAAAAAAAAATAAACCATATTTCATGCACTTCCAACTAGAATCTAAACAGCCTTTTTTTTTTTTCCAAAGATTTATTTATTTATTTGAAAGTCAGAGTTACACAGAGAGAGAAGGAGAGGCAGAGGGAGAGAGGGCTCTTCCCTCTGCTGCTTCACTTCCCAGTTGGCTGCAATGGCCAAAGCTGGGCTGATCTAAAGCCAGGAGCCAGGAGCTTCTTCTGGGTCTCCCACGCCGGTGCAGAGGCCCAAAGCCTTGCGCCATCTTCTACTGCTTTCCCAGGCCACAGCAGAGAGCTGGATCAGAAGTGGAGCAGCTGGAACTCAAACCAGTGCCCATATGGGATGCCGGCACTGCAGGGGGGCGGTTTTACCCACTATGCCACAGTGCTGGCCCCTAAACAGGCTTTTTAAAAGTTTGAATGTGTGGCCAGCGCCACAGCTCACTAAGCTAATCCTCCACCTGCAGCGCCAGCACACCGGGTTCTAGTCCTGGTTGGGGTACCGGATTCTGTCCCGGTTGCCCCTGTTCCAGGCCAGCTCTCTGCTGTGGCCAGGGAGTGCAGTGGAGGATGGCCCAAGTGCTTGGGCCCTGCACCGCATGGGAGACCAGGAGAAGCACCGGGCTCCTGGCTTCAAATTAGCGCGGTGCGCCGGCCGCAGCACGCCGGCCGTGGCAGCCATTGGAGGGTGAACCAACGGCAAAGGAAGACCTTTCTCTTTGTCTCTCTCTCTCACTGTCTACTCTGCCTGTCACACACACACACAAAAAAAAGTTTGACTGTGGGGGCCGGTGCTGTGGTGTAGTGGGTAAAGCTACTGGCTGCGGTTGGGTCCCAGCTGCTCTACTTCCAATTTAGCTCTCTGCTGTGGCCTGGGAAAGCAGTGGAAAATGGCCCACGTCCTTGGGCCCCTGCACCCACGTGGGAGACCTGGTAGAGAGGCTCCTGGCTCCTGGCTTCTGACTTCAGATTGGCCCAGCTCAGCCATTGAGGCCATCTGGGGAGTGAACCAGGAGATAGAAGATCTCTCTCTCTCTCTCTTTGCATTTCAAGTAAAAATGAAAGTAGATAAACTAAAAAAAAAAACTTGAAATTGAACTGTTGAATAAATTAAGTTATACAGAGAAAGAAATGTCTGACAATAATTTTCTTTTTTTTTTTTTTTAAAGATTTATTTATTTATTTGAGAGGTGAAGCTACAGACACAGAGAGGCAGAGGCAGGGAGAGAGAAGTCTTCCATCCACTGGTTCACTCCCCAAATGGCTCCAGTGGCTGGAGCTGGGCCAATCCAAAGCCAGGAGCCAGGAGCTTCTTCTAGGTCCCCCACTCAGGTGCAGGGGCCCCAGCACTTGGGCCATTTTCCACTGCTTTCCCAGGCCATTGCAGAGAGCTGGATCAGAAGAGGAACAACCAGGACACGAACCAGCACCCATGTGGGATGCTGGTGCCACAGCACTGACCCTGAGAATAGTTTTCTTTAAAATATAAGAATGTGACTCTTCAAATATTTGGAAAGTATTTGTGATGCATGTGAAGAGAGCATTTTAATATCTCTAATATAAAAGACCAAGAGCCCAGTAGAAAAAGGATCAATTGAGGTGAACAGACACATCACAGAGGAGCAACATAAACCTCTAATAAACACGTTAGAAGATATTCAGATTTATCAGTAGAAGGGGAAATGCCCCAAAAAAGGGAGAGCAAATGTGGTTTATACCTGGCACATCTTGCGCCCTGTTATTTTGTGTCGTGGGTAGATCTGAGCGAGGTTGGTTTGAAGGGACAGAAAACCCCACTCAAGGCAAAGGACCCACATAAAACTCAGGTGGGCATAAGAGTGACAGGATGGAAGTGTGATGGCAGAGGCCGTGAGCCAGGAGAGGCGGGCCTTGAACAGGAAGTTGGGGGGAGCGTAGCTGCTGTGTGGTGGATCCCTTCTGACTCTTGGCCATTACCCGATAGGGTAGGAACAATATGTCCTTTCATCTGCAAGGGAACTTCAACACATTCATGCAGAATGCATAGTAAGAGAATACTGTGCGTGGATTTCAAAAATTTTTACACCAAAATAAACATCCTTTAATTGTGTTTTTTGAGATAGCTTTATACATCTTAATTTTTCCCAACATTTTGTAATAGTAAAATACACACAGCCTAAAACTCACCATCTTAACTATTTTTAAGTGTACAGTTCAGTAGTGACAAATACACTCCCCAGGCTGTGCTACCGTCACCATCATCTGTCTCCAGAAACTCTTTTTTTTGAAACATTTTTTTAAAGATTTATTTTATTTATTTGAAAGAGTTACAGAGAGAGGGAGAGATAGATAGAGGTCTTCCATCTGCTGGTTCAATCCCCAAATGGCCACAGTGGCCGGAGCTGTGCCAATCCGAAGCCAGGAGCCAGGAGCTTCTTCCGAGTCTCCCACTTGGGTGCAGGGGCCCAAGCACTTGGACCATCTTCTACTGCTTTCCCAGACCATAGCAGAGAGCTGGATCGGAGGAGGAGCAGCTGGGACTAGAACCTGCACCCATATGGAAGGCTGGCATTTCAGGGCAGGGCTTTAAACTGCTACACCACAGTGCCGGCCCCCAGAAACTCTTACATTTCTAAGTAAGAACTTCCCATATTCCACACTACCTGGAATCGTGTGTTGTATAAAAGACGTGGTAGAAAGGCACAGTGACTTCACACTGTAGTCACGGGGATGCAGCTGTGCCATTTCGGTAAAACCTATAGAGTAGATTCCACTTTCAGGGAAGAAACTAGTGATCAGTGACCTTATTGAGCACAGGGCGACACAGGGACAGGTTAACGTGGTGACAGTGCAGAGAAGTCTGGCCTGCTCCAGGCCCACTTGGCTGGTAAAATCTTCATGTCATTCCAGAAACTCAAAGAACTTTAGGGATATGTTTGGGCTTACCGATATCCTTTTTGTTTTAAAATACGTTAATTCATGATAGGACAACAAAAAAGGCTCTTACCTCAAAGGGAGGTATTAAGACATGTCAAAAAAGTTCATGGAGAAATAAAGCTAGAAGAGAAGTTTATTTTAGTATAAAAATATTTTGAAATCCATCTTTTTTGATAATTCACATATTCTGTGAACTTAGGGAGAACTATAGTAACTGTTGAAACTGTCAACTTAAAAAATTCTGAAAGTGATTAATTCATGAACATATTCATATATTCTCGTGTTACCTTTAATTTATCTACATGATGAATGGATTCTTTGCTTAGTTCTATAATCAAGGAAACTCTATGTATTTATAATAATTAGTATTCTAAAATTGAATTTGTTATAGTGATAAGAATAGGTTTTAAATCTAAAAATTACATTACAAATGGCTGTGATCATTTAGGGATATTGTCCTTAAATTGAAAGGGGTATTGACTGGTTTGGAGCATCTCCCATGTTCCCTTCCTGGCAAACACTACCTCCACTAGCCTGCTCACACCCAAGTGCTAGCTTAAATGTCACATCCCTGACCTGCCAGTTTAAATGGTGTCTCTCTCCTCCCCTTTATTCTCTGCTCTGTTTCTTTATAATTTTTGCCAGAATTTGTAATGATTATGTACCTATGAAATTGATGCATACTTTTTTCATACTATGCATTTCCATGAGCTTTCTAAAGATCCCCCATGTGAAAGGATTTCATTTTTTTTGGGCCAAGATAAACATCTTTTAATTCCATTTTCCATGAACCTTTGAAAGTGCCCTTGTATGTGAATGTTTTAAATGTCACCTTCAGTTAGCACACGGCAAATGCAGTGGCGACAGCTTCTGTGCCTTTGATCCACCGCTGTAGAATGGCACACATTAGGCTGCCCATCAGTGTATACAGGCTGATTTAACAAATTTTCTCTCCATCATTAACATTTGGTGCAAAGTCAGAAGGATGTTATTTTGTAAAGAAAATAAGGACAACAATATTTTGTGTGCAATTCAGACTTTAAAAATGTTGATTTTGTGATGAGTTCTATCTAATGTATTCTCTTTGTTGACAACTTTCAATTTAATTTCATCCAAAACTGGAGGGAATTGATGCTTAGATATGCAGCCTCATGTTATGGCTGACTTTTTAAAGATAATTATGATACACTTACTACATTTTCCATTTCTTTTGTAAAGTTTGTCTGTATGGCTAGGATGCAAAGTTTTCATCCAGGGTCTGCTTATGTTTCTGTCTTTGCTGCTCTTGGTAATGTCATAGTGAAGCCCAGTACACCTGGGCTTCCTACCATGGACACACTGCTCTGTGCAGATGCTGTTACGAGGAGGTGATGTAAATTATATCCTCGGAACTTAATAGTCCCAGTGTTTACCCTAATGTGGGCCTCTGGAAGTCCAGTCAAGTTTTCTAAAACTGTTTAGAAAACTCGTAGGACTTAGAGCCTATATACCTATCCTGTATTTTATTTTTAAAAGATGATCATTATCAGGACTACTGGGCATGATGTTCATAAATGTAGATAAAGTCAGTCACGGGGAGTAATTTGTTCATTTGTTTCCAACACAGTTGAACTAGGTGTAAGGGATGACATATGTCTTAAAACAAATGCCCGTTTCTCCTTTTCTCAAATGATCTTAAAACTGGAAGGATGTGTTGTGCTCCATGGTCAGGTAACCAGTTGTGGACAAAGAAAAGCATTGCCTCATGTCTCTGGAGGTGTGAGTGGGAAGGAGGGAGGGGCACACTCAGATGTGTGAACCATAGCTCGAGAACAGGGCAGAATGTGGAGCGTGTGTGTCATTGGCCAGTTCTGCAGATCCCGGTCGATCCCAGTGGAGAGCCTTCGCTGCAGGGTGGTCAGCAGGGAGAGCGTTCAGCTCCTTGAGTGGAGGGTGTTGGTGAATCTGGCTAAGGCGAAGAGTCATTCAAGTGCACATCAGTTAGAGGGTGCTGTGGTTGTTGAGTGGAAACCCTGTAGGGCCCAGGGGTGGGGAACATCCAGCCTGAGAGATCACTGGGTCCGGCCCTGTGAGATCACAGGGCAACTGCAGGTGGGACTTGGAATTCAGTACATCTCCATCAGGCTTATTATTAAGTTGATCATTTTGTATGGCCTGTGAATGAATGACGTTACAAATACCCAAATGACCCCTTGGCAGAAAAACGGTTCCCCACCCTGCTAGGTACTGAAAGGCTAGAAAAGGCGCAGCAATTAAAAGGGGGGTGTTCAAGGGACTAGAGGGGATCGTGGTTAGGAGAGGGCCAGGCAGGGAGTGCTTTTGTTGTGAGCCCAGCTGCTGTGTGAAGTAGTGAAGGGAGCCTGAATTCCTTCCGTTCAGGACAACATCCCTGATTCTAAGATGTAAAATAATTTTAAAAATCAGTGTTTTTTTTGATGGGTCATACTATTACATTAATGTATTAATTCTCACAGATTTTTTTTTTATTTGAAAGGCATTTGACAGGGGAGTGGAGGGAGTGGATCTCGTGCCCACGGGTTCATTCCCCAGAGGCCTACAGCAGCTGGGGCTACAGTAAGCCAAAGCCAGGAGTCAGGAACTCCAATCGGCTCTCCCAAGTACTTGGGCCATCATCTGCTGCCTCCTCAGGTGTATTAGCAGTGGTGCAGCCAGGACTCACACCAGCACTCTGATGTGAGATGTGGGTGTTCTGAGAAGCTGCCTAACCCACTGGTGCCACGATACCCTTCCCTCATGTCAACACTTCAGAATACATTTATAAGGCAAAGTGAACTTGGGAAACTTCTTATCAAATGGAACCACAGCAAAAGAATTACCTCCCGTGAACCATCTTGAAATGTTTCTCAAACACTTGGTCTTACCAGGATTCCACACACACCCCTCCCGGAGGAGGGCCATGCTGTGCACACTCAGTTAAAACCGATGACGTAAGCCTTCCCAGACTGCCTCTCCCCGAGGTTCTGCTGGACGGAGCTGTAAGATATCTGAAGGAAGGTGCAGCTATGAGGATGCTGTGAGAAAACAAAATAGTCTTAGATCTGGAATACTGCTAGAACAGTGTAAGAGACCAAAGCACCTTGCTTTTGGAGTCTGTACAGGCTTTCCTGGCTACAGGATTCAGAGGGTATAGGTATGCAGGGTTTTTTGGTAGAACCAGTAAATATACTCCAAATAGTCATCATATATGTTCACGTATTTCTCTATCATGGAGGTAAAAAATATAGTTTTTACAAAAGTTGGTAATTTTTTTTTGGTTGTCCTAAGAATACTTTAAAAAGCGAAAATAATTTAGAGTGAATATTGGCAACAGTTTTCTGTTGAATAAATTGTGGTGTTAAAGCAGAGAAACTAAAAAAGTGGCATTAAATTGGCCCAGGACATTCTGGAAAATGTGATTCCTAAAAATGATTTTTTAAACAAATGAATGATAGGAAATGATGAGGAAAATAATGATTAGAAACCATGACTGTTGTTAGGAATCATTCCCTTAGGAAAATTCATGTCCAAATTCACCAAATTCTGGAGTCTAGAATCCATTTTCTAAATGTGGTGTCTCTTAAGACATGTGAGGCCTTAGTTTCTAACTGATCATAGATTATAGCAATATCGAAATGGAAACTGACACTTAAAAATCTTGATATTTTAGTGCATAATTCTTGTTAATAGGATTTGAGTTCATGCCTAATTGCATTTATGATCAATGTTCAAGTAGGGTTTTTTTTTAATTTAACATTTCTGCCTAATTAAGCTTTATAGAGAGTGGATAACAAGAAATCTAAACTTGGCTAGTATTCATTTTTAAGGTAGTTTTTATTTGATCTACTTGAAAATCAAATATGTTCCTTTTAATTGAAAATGTAGTGTTTAATGTGACCTATTTTTTTATGACAGATTAAATACAAAGAAAAATTTGATAATGAAATGAAGGACAAGAAGCATCACTACAACCCACTTGAAAGTGCAGCTTTTAGGCAAAGTCAGCTTGCCACCACGCTGGCAAGCAATGTAAGTTGTGATTCAGAGAAAATTATTCTCAATATCTTTTGATTCTTGTTTTCTTAGAATCGACTGTGTTGTAATTACTGATACTTAATGAAGATCATGCAATTTCTACATAATGAGTAGTTGAATACAGTGAAGCACATTTTCCTGAAGTTTTTTTTGAAAAAAATCTATTATCATAATTTACTATTAATGGTTACTGATTAGTAATTAGTTAATAAGCAGAAATAGAATTGAGAATAAAATTATTATGTCTACTCAAGAGTAGACATTTATTACAAAGCTTTGCAGAAAAGAAGTGTGTATTATCACAAATTAGTGGTTAGGACAGCAGTTCACTGAAGTACTTATACCGTGGAAGTGGCCTTGTTGTCGAGAACTACCTGGTACATTGGGTCTATCAGAGAGAAAGTCTGAGAAACTGTCCTTCCAATGGTTTAGTTTCATTTTTCTCTATTTGAGTGCTATGAAGCACTTCATAAGATTTATTTTCCTGTTTCTTAAAAATAAACGATTCATCTTCTAAGAAATGACATTTTAAATTCTTATTCAGAAATAGGAAAAGTGTAAAAGGAATACTGAATACTATTGAAAATTTGATCACTTTGCTGATGTTGAAAATATATAGAATACACCGTCAAGTCTGAAAAGTAAATATCATCCAACTTTGCTTAGTTAGATCATTTAAACCCAACCTATCAGCTCCTCTGGTCACCTGGGGACTTAGTTTATATCTTGCTTTCATTAATGTTCAGAATGATTTATATTTGTTATTTGCTTATTTTGTGTGTTGGGGGGCGTGTACAAAAATAAAGGAAATAGATGAAATATACGTAACGGAGCCCAGAGCACAGGGCGGAATGCTCCAGGTTCAGAATCCTATTGCCTGCATTCAGATCCTGTCCTACCGCATACTAGGCCTTCATCTTTCTGAGTTTCGGTTTCCTCATCCGTGAAATGGGGACGCTTAAATTACCTACCTATTAGAGTTGTGGAGGTTAAGTATTTAGTAGAGACAAATATTTAGAAAAGCATCTGGCACATAGTAAATGCTCAACATTTTTGCTATTTAAACATTTTATTATTATCATTACTTAGACTATATTTCTGAAGCAGTTTAAAAAAAATCTATAGGGCAATGAATGAAAAACGCCAAAAGTTTAATATCACCAAAAAGCACATTTGGAATACTGTAGTAATTTCTACAACAAAATGGCTATTCCATTTATTTTTTGAAACAGAGTTTCCATAAAAATTATTTAGTTCTAGTAACATCACCCTCTCTGAATATGTAAACAACAAAAGAGTTTGTCAAAATACAGCGTTTTTCAGTCCATGGAAAGCGTTTCTTTACTCATTCAGTAGTAAATTAGCACCACCTAGTGGCCACTTGTAATGTCGTCTGTTAATTTGCCACCAGAGAGTACTGCTCTATGATTTGTTAGACATAATGGCAATAATGCAAAAGCATAACATTTTGTTTTCCTAGATGGTATTTTGTTTCCATGTTATTTTCATAGGTGAAGTACAAGAAAGACATTCAAAATATGCACGTTCCAGTTTCAGATCTCCCAAATTTGTTGTTTTTAGACCATGCTCTGAAAGCCAGCAAAATGCTCAGTGGAGTAAGTGGGTTGTCTGAAGGCAACTGTAGATGGCCTGTGGCTCCCGGAAGCCAGTGTGCCTGCGGTGCTCCGGAGCTCACCTGCTTCCTGCCTGTGTGTCACTTCTCCCTGAGAACTCACTCCTTAACCAGCAGTGCTCTGTTTGCATAAATGCCACCCAAGCTGCCGCTTTGCAGATGGGTTCTTTTTAGCTCTTGGTATTGTGAATGCAGCTGCACTTCGAAGTGTGTGACTTTCTTCTTCACCCTTTCTTCGTCTGTCTTAGACTGAAGCCCCTGAAGCTCAGGGTTAGAGTTGTGTGTCTTTTATTTTATTCAGGTGAGACCAGGACGTCTAATGTGCCATCAGCAGCATGAAAAATTTACCTTAACCCCAATTGTGTTTTCTCCAAAAGACATCCATGTGACAGTGACATTGTATTTGAGTCTTGTGCTGCTTCTGTGCTGTCTGTCAAGGCAGCCTGGAGGGCAGAGTGAGTTCATCGTGTCCTGGCAGAAATATTTTGTTTGCTGCCCCTGCAGTCAGTCACCCTTCTGGATGCTGGGTGTCTGGTCCCTGACTTTACCTGTTCTCAGAATGGATGCTCCTGGGCCACGGGTGGCTCCCTTTTGTCCATCACAGGAAACCCCTGAGCTAAAAGTTAACCTCCAGTTATCTCCATGCCTGTTTTACTAACCACTCACTCAAAATGATCCTAACTTATTGAGTATCTACAGACTCCATGGAGAGCACCTGTCTGGCAAAACCTGGGAATAAGTGCAGACACTGGTCTCAGTGCGGGGCGCCCAGAGCCATTGATTGAAAAATCTGTAGTCCACGCTGAGTTCCCAGACGCCTGAACAGTGAGACCCAGCTTCAGTTCCGTTTTAGAAATGTCTTAGCTTTGCTGTACTGAAAATCTTTTCATTATTTTGTGAACATCATTGCCATGGCATCTTTCTTGAAATATATTCTGCATGCATTGGAGGGTGAACCAACAGTAAAGGAAGACCTTTCTCTCTGTCTCTCTCTTTCTCTCTCTCTCACTGTCCACTCTGCCTGTCAAAAATTAAAAAAAAAAAAAGAAAAAAGAAATATATTCTGCATGCAAATAATTCATACGTGCCAAGATTTCTGTTTTTATTTTATTTATTTATTTATTTTTCTAAAGCACCGGTTCTTGGATGAAAAGTAGTACATCATTCTTTCTGGTCTGTTAAGCAAGGAATGGCAGTGAGAGGGACATGGGCGGGCTCAGGATTGACACTCAGGTCCAGGACACTCCGTCATGTCTTCCTGCCATTTCAGTGTTCATCCTTCTGTTCCCTGAGTGTCTCTACTTTCAGCCCATGTTTTTCTCCACAGCCCACAGGCATGCTTCTGAAAGCGATGTGTTTCTGTTCCCTGAGCCCTCTACATTTCTCTGCATTCTGTCTTTGGCATCTAGTTTTCATCATCTCAGTGGGATCTGCCCTTGGCTAGTCTCTCTTCACACTTGGGTTAAATTTCCTAGGAACCTGGGGATTTGTGTGTAGATAAGTGAACAAAACAACCATGGTGGTAATGTTAAAAATTTGGTTAACTGGAAGCCTGTGTGCCACTCATAGGCAATATTTCTTTCAAGAGTGTTGGCCTTAGTTTTATGATAATGGTTACAATTATTTCTCTCAACTCTTCGACAGAGACAAATTAGCAAAGCCACGTGATACCCTTACTTGATGCACCATTTATAAAGTTTAAATCTTTATCCAGGTAATGATTTCTTCTAGATCAGTTTTTTTCTCCATCAAAAAAAAAATGGTGATTCAATGATCACTTTCTGAAAATTGCTTTCAATTTATTTGAGAGGCATGAAGAGGATGGGGAAGAGCTGGTTCATTGCCCAAGTGCCCACCAAGACCTGGGGGCCAAAACCAGCAGCCAGACCTCAGTCTGGGTCTCCCACCTTGGTTGACAGGAACCCCATGATTGAGCCATCACTGCTGCTACTAGGGTCTGCATGAGCAGGAAGCTGGTGTCAGGCGCAGAGCTTGGGCACGACACCCAGACACCTCAGTGTGGGACGCGTGTATCTCGACAGCCAGCCCAACACCCACAATCGGAGACAGAATTTAAGATTCAAGACATTTAGTACTTAGCAGTATCTACTAATTCAATTTGTTCAGTAATACTTTGGCTCAAAGTTATTATATATTAGAATGGCCTTTTAAATTTTTTAATGTAAAGATAGTTCAAATTTTATCTATTTATAAAGGAAACAATTTTATTAAAACATTAAGAGATTGTGCACTAAACATTCTGCCAAAATCAGTTGTCAGTTTGTTATAAACAGCTGGTTTTTTTTTGAAGATTCTTTAAATGTCTTGGTATTCGTCAGAATTCTTTTCATTTCAGTGTGAGTGTGTAGAGTGAAACAAATGGTTATGAGTTGTACAGCCATACTAATTAAAATTTTAAGGCAATATTTTGCTCTGGAAGTGGAACTCTCCTACTTTTCCACCTGTTTCATAATTTTACATAAATTAAAACTCCAATGTGTGTAACTCTGTGTATCTCCCACTAGGAGGCAACAGAGACTAGGATATAGAAAAATAAGCTGGGGCGTTAGAAATTTCTTCTGCAGCTCTTAGTACAAACAGATTTTTTTTGTTATGTTTTGGTTGTTTTTTAAATAGGTATTTCTGAAATTTTTATAACTTGAATGATAATTTTCCTGGGAACAACCTTTCATTGACCTTTCTTAGTGTATATCTGTTACTCCAGACTATATGCTAGGCTTTATTGGTCCTGGATTTTAGCTTAGTAATGGAATTTGTTCTAGCTCCTTACCTTCAAGTCATGATTATCTTAGTGTCTATTATAAAATAACTTCTAATCAAGTTATGAAATCTTCAACTGTGTTATCTTTTGAGGTTTTTGTTTCTGTTTTTTGTTGTTAAATTGGTAGAGGGGTCAGCATTTAGAATTTGTTCTCTTTGGCCAAGATGTGCTAGTGAACAGCCGTGACTTTTCCTCCTCTTTTTCTTCCCTCATTTTGTTCTGGTTACAGTCTGGGGGACACACGTCTTTGCTCTCTGATTGGGAGGATACACTTGATTCTGGGCTCCCCCTGTGGTCCAGGGAGCAGCAGCTCTTGTGTGGCAGGTCTCTGGGACCTCCCACCCCACCCCCTTCACTCCCAGAACTCTGGAGCCTGGCCAGCTCTTTCCTGCTGCCTCTCAAATGCTGCTCATGTGCCCTTCCACTCTGTGTAAGAGTGTCATTTCTCCTGAAACCCATTGCCTAACGAACAACCAGTTTTAGCTCATTGAGTCTCTGCAACCTTGAGTCTCTAGAGCTACTGTTTACCTCTGAAGTATTTTCCAAATAGTGCAGAATAACTCGGTGTCCGGGATAGGAACCATGAGGCAATTTCTGCCTTACTGCTGTTGTATTTGGAGTCCTGCAGTTGCCAAACTTGGCCTTCCAGTCTGTTCCGATCTCTTCCAAATTCACCGTTTTCTCTCTGTGTCTACATATAGGCAGTTTCTACACCTTAAAAATCCAACTGCCTATACTCAGATTCCTCAAATTGTCTCCCAAGCAACTCCTATCCTTTCCTTTGGGAAAAATTAGTCAAATCATTTCTCAGGGAATAGTCTCATATTCCCTGTGACCACAGATCTCTGTGCAGGAGTGTTTTTCTGCCTTGTCTCCAGCTCCCCGTTCCCATGTTCTTTCCTTCTCTCCCATGGGCACTAGATGTGTCCAGCCAGGGCGCCTCACTTTTATCCTGCCCACTTTGCCACCAGGTCTCCCGTGGCCGCTCCTGCTGTGCAAATACCTTTCACGCTGCGTTAGGGCCCCGGCCTCTCGTACCCTGAGTGTGTCCCATGCTGGTCTCATTGAGCAACCAGAGCTGGCCTAGCTTGCGTGTGTCTGCTGCTCCCAGAGTCGGAGATCGCCATGCCCGCTGGCTACACCCGGGGCCTTGATCACAGCTTTGCAGCTCTTGGTGGCTTGCGTGGTCCAGTTTGCATTCCTAAGTTACGTAATTACTGGAACCAGTCTCTTTTTCCCTAAAGTTTCCTTTCATGTTCTGTATTTCAGCGCGAATATAAAAAGTTTTTTGAGGAAAACAAAGGCATGTATCATTTTGATGCCGAGGCCACCGAACACCTGCACCACAGAGGCACTGCCACCCTCCAGAGCCAGGTATGCACTTGATGGGTGAGCCCCCTCCCCTCCTGCTGGGACCCTCTGCTGACAATGTGCCTTTGCTGAGAGCAGATTCTGAGGCAGCTAATATTGCTTTAGAAAGTCTCCCAACACTATCTTCCCTATGTTTACAAACAGGGGTGAGGAACGTCTGGCCCTGGGGCCTCATTTGGTCTGACCTTGCCAAAGCAATTTTTTTACAGGCTAATTTTTAAGTTGATAATATTGTATGGCCTGCAAATGATGTGATAAATATGCAAATGGCCTTTGGCAAGAAAAATGTTCCCCACCTGTGGTTTACTGGTTCAGGGGAGTTTGACCATATTTCCATATAAACACATTGCATAAAATAATAGCTACTTCACGTAATTCAAAGTCTGGAATACAGGAATTAACTGAATTATGGTCAAATGTCATGCTGGCTTAAGTGTGTTTAGCATGCCGATTTGTTGTTTGGAGGTACAACATTAATTTACCAGTTGCCAGGTTGGCTGTGATGTAGAAATGTTATCAGAAAGGGAAAACGATGCTCCCGCTGTGTTCTACATCAACGTTGCTTCCACCCCTGAAACTCCATCTACCCCCTGAAAAAACTTGAGAAAAGATCTCCCTAATACAACTTTAAAGCTAATATCCATTTTTAAATTCTTGAGTTGAGATAGTTGCAAAACATGTCATTTCTAGCATCTTTTAAGAGAAAATTTTACATCACTCTTTTAAATGAATTCTGTGGAACATGAATTGCTTAATGAGTTCACCTTCACCATCCTTTTACATTAAAAACATATAAAATAGACCCCCTTTAAAGTTTGGATATATGCATTTTTTTCTCTTTAAATTATTTTTTTAAAGATTTATTTATTTATTTGAAAGGCAGAGTTAGAGAAAAAGGGAGAGATAGAGGGAGAGAGAGAGAGAGAGAGAGAGAGAGATCTTCCACCTGCTGGTTCACTCCTTAAATGGTTGCAACAACAGGGCAGGATCGGCTGAAGCTGGGAGCCTGGGTCTCCATCCAGGTCTCTGACATGGGTGGCAGGGGCCTGAATGCTTGGGCTATCTTCTGCTTTCCCAGCTCATTAACAGGAAGATGGATCATAACTGGAGCAACCAGGTCTTAAGCCAGTTCTCACGTGGGATGCTGGTGGTGCAAGTGGCAGCTTGACCTACTGTACCACAATGCTGGTGCCTAAATTCTTATTTTTGTTTCATTTTTTTTTTCATAACTGTCTGTCTGTAGTGTATTCTACACTTTCAACATTTTATTGATCATTCTCTCATACTTCTCTGCAGCAAAAATACATCTACAAGTAGACATCTAAAATTCATTATGTAAGATTTATTTACCTGAAAGGCAGAGCATCAGAGAGAGTGAGAGAGACAGAGACAGAGGCAAAGAGAGAAAGAGAGAGAGAGAGTGAGGTTTTCCATCTGCTGGCTCACTCCACAAACGCCCACATCATCCAGGGCTGGGTCAGATCGAAGCTAGGAGCCAGGAACTCTATCCATGTCTCCCACGTGAGTGGCAGGAGCCCAAGCACTTGGACCATCTTCCACCGCCTTCCCAGGTTCATCAACAGGAAGCTGAATTGGGAGCAGAGCAGCCAGGAGTCAAATCAGCATTCCGATATGGGATATTGGTGTCCGAAGTGGCAGTTTATCCCACTGCACCACAGCACTGCCACTTATGTGTGGTGCGTTTTAACCACAGAGTTCTAAGTATTGAAAAACCTCTTTTGGGTTGTTTCCATTATCCTCATCATTATTATACAACTTAAATAATTTTATAATGTTCAAATATAAGAATTTTAATAATGCATTTCTGAATGAGGTGAGTCATAGTAAAAATTTCCGTGAATTTAATTTTAAAAAGATATATTGTCCCAAAGCCAGCCTCTCTGATAGCTGACATGAGTTTTAGTTTCTGTTTTCAGGAGAGCGAAAGCATTACCCAGGGGAGCGAGTGTTTAGCCTAGTGGTTAAGATGCCCATGCTCCACACTGGAGTACCTGGACTTGATGCCTGGATGTGGCTGCTGACCCCAGCTTCCTGCCAATGCAGACCCTGGTGTGCAGGTTCCTGCCAACCACATAGGAGACCTGGATTTTATTCCCAGCTCCTGGTTTTGGGACTGGCCCTCCTCCAGCTATTGGGCAACTGGGGGGTGAACCAATGGATGGGAAATCCTCCCCCTCCCCAGCCTCTCCCCTATCTGTCCCTCTGCCCTGCAAGTAAATAAATAAAACATTTTAAAAAGGAAAATGTTGCTCATATAAACAGAAATGAGATAAAAATAGACTGTAGTTGAAATAAAGAATTCACAATATGCTATTATAATTCAAAGTGAAAATGAAAGAAATCCCATACAAGGTTTGTGTGCATGTGTGTGTTTTAGTCATGATTCAAAAATATTGTCCTGGACGCCGGTGCTGTGGCGTAGTGGGCTAAGCCTCTACCTGCACCATCGGTATCCTATATGGGTGCCAGTTCTTGTCCTGGTGGCTCCTCTTCTGATCCAGCTCTCTGCTATGGCCTGGGAAAGCAGTAGAAGATGACCCAAGTCCTTGGGCCACTGCACCCAAGTGGGAGACCTAGAAAAAGCCCCTGGTTCCTGGCTTCAGATCAGCCCACCTCCAGCCATTGCAGCCATTTGGGGAGTGAACCAGTTGGTGAAAGACCTCTCTCTCTGTCTCTATGTGACTCTGCCTTCCAGATAAATAAATAAAATCTTTTAAAAAAATTTTACTGAAAAAAAAAAGAACATTGTCCTGCCTTTGGTAGAAATATAATCACACTCGTGTTTTCTTTCTGGTACACAACTTACTAACAGATATTGAAGTTATTACAAAGATCTGTGCCCCTCGCCTCTACTTCCTCCCTCTCCTTCCTCTTTCTTTCTCCCTAAACCTGTACATGAGTACCATGTGTGTACAGGCATGTAACCCCACATATAATTGCCCCAGTATCCATGGGGGATTAGTAACAGGACCCTCCTTGAATACCAAAATCTGTGGATGCTAAAGTCTCATATAAACTGGCATAGTATTTGCAGATGACCTATGCAAATGCTCCCATCTCTAGATTACTTATAATACTTACAGAATGTAAATGCTATGTAAATAGTTGTTACACTATATTGTTTAGGAACTATTGTCAAGAAAATAAGTCTGAACATGTTCAGTACTGATGCCATTTTCCTTCAAATGTGTATTTTTTTTATTTGAAAGATAGATAGAGACAAAGACAGAGAGACAGAGAGACAGTCAAAGAGAGAGAGAGAAGAGATCTTCTATCCACTCATTTCATTCCCCAAATGCCCACAACAGCCAGTACTGGACCTTTCTGAATCCAGTAGCCTGGAACTCAAGTCAAGTCTCCCCAAGTGGTTGGCAGGGACCCAAGTACTTGCGCTATCATCTGCTGCCAGGGTCTGCATTAACAGAAAGCTGGAGTCAGAAGCCAGAGCCTGGACTTGAACCAGGCATTCTGATGATACGGGGTGCGGTATCCAACACAGCATTTTAGCCATTGCGCCAAACACCTGCCCCTCTCCCAAGTGTTTTTGATCTGCGATTGGTTGAATCTGAGAATGGAGATTCCATGGAATGAAGGGCTGACTGTGTAGGATATGTGTGTGTGTGTGTGTGTGTATACACACACACATACATACAGCTATTCAGCAATTATATATATTTATTGTATATTATATTTTATATACATATATTATTTATTGTATATTATATATATTCAGGTATTGGGCAAAATACTTTTTACTGAAGTCCCAGAATTTCATTATAACTTATTTTTATCCCTGAAACATTTAAAAATATTTCCTGTTTGCTTCCTTTGTGTGTCATCAACTACATGGAACCCACTGATCCACCTCAATGACCAGAATAATTTGATTTTTGAACACAGAGTGATTAATATTAGACATCTGTTTACTCTGCTTCGCTTTGTTTGTATAAGGGCTGACTTTTACATGCTTTTTACACTTGTTTTGATGAAGGTTAAATACAAGGAAGAATATGAGAAAAATAAGGGAAAGTCGATGCTTGAATTTGTTGAGACACCTTCTTACCAGGCTTCGAAGGAGGCTCAAAAGCTGCAAAGTGAGGTAGGACCCTGGCTCTGCTATCGATCCATCATGTGTGTGTGATGTGTGACCGCTGCCCAGTGGTTCCCAGCTTGTAGAGCATCCTGAATAAAGAGCCTGGCTCTAGTCGGATGCAGGGCCCTGTGTGGGGGACTCCAGGTCTGGTCCAGGTCGTCAGGTTTGCCTGGCCCTTAGTGTCTTCATTTGTTGAGTCCACCCACAGAGGCCCACAGAGCCGCTTCTCCATGTGGACCCTGCAGACTGAATCAGCAAGGCTTTCAGATGTCCCTGATGTACACCTAGGATGAGTACATGCCTACAAGCTGGACGGGAAAGGGAGAGCAGACGCCTCAGCCACCTTCTTCTTCTCCTTTGCTTTCCCCTCCCCTCCCCTCCCCTCTCCTCTTGTTTTCTTTTCCTGTTTTCAAAGACCATGGAACTAAGACTGAGTAGATACTCTGTGCTAGGTAATATGCTAAGTGCTTTATTTATGTTGGCTCATTTAATCCTCAAAGCAATGAAACCAGCAAAGTATCACCCCTAGGTTATAATGTATCCACTGACATTAATTATCCTGAAGAAAATTAAATACCCAACAAATGCCAGTGTTCGAGGGTCTGGTCAAACCCTGAATAGTTCCCTTTGCTCTCTTAGCTTATGTAATTGCTCCCCCCACCCCATCGCCATAAATGATTACAAGTTTTGTCTATTCATTCAGTGAATTCTCGACCTAACACAATGCCCACATCCAGATAGTCCCCTCTTGGGTTTTTCTTCGTTCTTTTTTTCCTTCTTTCTCCCTCTCTTTTTTTCTTTCTTTATTTTTTCCTACTTTTTTCGGGACCGGACACATACAGTTAAGTCTGCAGCTGACGTCCACGTTCTCTGGCTGCAAGTGGCTTATTCTGAGGGACAGAAGCAGTGCGCAGCAGGATCAGCCAGTTGCATCCCTAGGGCTTCCTGCTGGGCTTTCTCTATGGGCAAGACGCTTTGAGTTGTCCAATTACAGTACTCAAACAGGGAGAAATGGTAACTGCTGGAGAAAATCGTTCACTGGAATTTTGTGAACAGATAATTTGTATTTGCTGAAGTATTAAAACGCATTGTTATCGGAAAAGGGTCACACATTCCTGTGGTTTCTTGACTAGTCAAAGTTACTTACTTTCTTCTTTAAGCAAAAGAGGAGAAAGAATTAACTTGCATTTTCTCATGTCCTATCTTCTTAAGATATGAAGGGGAATTTGATAAAGAAATGTCAGATAACTATTTTGCCTAATACAAATTTGCATTTGTTTTAACTGAATTGGCAGAACTGCTAAATTTGGTCAAAATTCAGAAGTCCTATAAAAGCTTACCTTTAATGGAATAAATTGTCATGGGATCCCTTTTCTGCATTTAGATATCAATATGTGAAGCATAGTACATGTATATTTATCATCTTCTGTTGCAGGCACTTTTCAGGTGGGCGCCAGCCAGCTGTGCAATGCATTGCCCCATTTTTCAGTAATAATGTGCCTGTTGTCACTTACTTACCTATGGCCCACAGAGAGGTCTCCACATGGGGGGCTGTCAGGTGCTTTCACAGTGGGTTCTTGGGTTAAGACTATGTGAAG